CCTCGAGAGGGAGCAGGGGGCTGGGTGCCGGGAGGGTGCCGGGAGCGGCCGGTGCCAGTTCGCCCCATCGCCCGCAGGTTCGAGATCGAGATCGAGCCCATCTTCGGCATCCTGGCCCTGTATGACGTGCGGGAGAAGAAGAAGGTGGGGCCCTGCCTTCCCCTCCGTCCTCGCCGCCCGCCTCGTGGCAAGGCGGTGGGCTCCCCGGAGGCGGTGACCCAGCTGCCTCCTGTGCCCCCAGATCTCGGAGAACTTCTACTTCGACCTGAACTCAGACTCGGTGAAGGGACTGCTGCGGGCCCACGGCACTCACCCGGCGATTTCCACCCTGGCCCGCTCCGCCATCTTCTCTGTGACCTACCCCTCGCCCGACATCTTCCTGGTCATCAAGGTGCCCACGGGGGCTGGGCGAGGACGGGGGGCGAACGTCACAGGCTCAGTCCCTACGGACACGGACGGACAGAGGAGGAAGGGTGACCAGGCCTCTTGTAGGGGAAGCACAGGCAGTGGGCAAGCCTGGAGGAGGCTCCTCACCCAGCCCAGGGGAAGAGAAATCACGGAGGGCTTCCCTGGAGAGGTGGCAGCTGAGCCAAGCCTGTAGGGAAACGGCATCCTGGCATAGGGGGGCAGATGTTTAAACATGCACACATTTCTCATGTATTGATTTGAGAGCGACAGACAGACAGAGAAGGAGGAACAACGATTTGTTGTTTCACCTATCAATGCATTCACTGGCTGATTCTTGTATGTGCCCTGCCTGGGGATAGAACCCACAGCCAACGCTCTAACCAACTGGGCCACCCGGCCAGGGCCTGAAATATGTTCTTTAGTGGAGTTTTTCCGTTTGTTAGGAGAGAGAAGACCCAAGTGGCACGTTTATTTGGGCTGTTGTTTCCAGGAGGGCGTTTCAATTTCCTTTCTCAAAGCATTCAGGTAGGTTACACCCGTGGTCGGCAAACCGCGGCTCGTGAGCCACATCGGCTCTTTGGCCCCTGGAGCGTGGCTCTTCCACAACATACCACGGCCTGGGCGAGTCTGTTTTGAAGAAGTGGCGTCAGAAGAAGTTTATGTTTAAAAAATTTGGCTCTCCGAAGAAGTCTCAGTCGTCGTACTGTTGATATTTGGCTCTGTGGGCTGATGAGTTTGCCGACTACTGGGTTATATACTAATGACGTTACCTGAGCACCCGTCAGTCAGGCCTCACGGCGATTCCCCCTTGAGTCCTCACAGCAGCCCTGGGATCTGGGGCTGCCATGGATCCATTTTACAGGTGGGGAAACTGAGGCACGGGTCAGGTGAGGGGCCTGCTCAGGATCCCACAGCCTGGAGGGGTCAGGATTGAAGTCCGGTTCTTGGGGTGACCTCTGTGTGTACTGACAAAGAATTGCGGATGTAGGGGAGTACGGAGCCTTGGACTTTGGGGTGGGTTCAGAGGTGCAGAGGGGGCAGCTGGCCAGGCAAGGCAGCAGCTGGCACTCAACCCCGAGGACAGTGGGAGCCCAGGGAGTTGGAGCAAGAGCTCTCGTGGACAGGGTGCCTGGGGGCCCATGGGAGGTCCAGGAGGTTGGGGTGTGGGGGGAGGTGAGGCTCCGGCAGCACCTCACCGGCCTGCCCGCCCCGCAGCTGGAGAAGGTGCTGCAGCAGGGAGACATCAGCGAGTGCTGTGAGCCCTACATGGTGATGAAGGAGGTGGACTCAGCCAAGGTAAGGGGTGGAGGCTGGAGCTGGACCCTCTCCCTAACCCCAATCCTGCATTCAGCAGGCCCGGGGCGCTGAGCTTGTGGGTCTCGGAGGGTCTCCCCACAGAACAAAGAGAAGCTGGAGAAGCTTCGCCTGGCGGCCGAGCAGTTCTGCACCCGCCTGGGCCGCTACCGCATGCCGTTCGCCTGGACGGCCGTGCACTTGGCCAACATCGTGAGCAGCGCCGGGCAGCCCGACCGCGACTCCGACTCCGAGGGCGGTGAGAGGCGGGGCCGTGGCCGGGGGCGGGGCCGTGGCCGGGGGCGGGGCTGGTGGCCCGGGGGGCGGGGCTACTGCGGAAGGGAAGGGGCGCTCTCTGCTGGCTGAGCTCTGTACAGGCTACGTCTCCAAGTTCCCCTTCCCTGCCTCTCATCTGTCCCCCTCCACCCATCCCTGTCACTGCCACCCATCCCTGTCACTGCCACCCATCACTGCCTCCCGTCCCTGTCACTGCCATCCATCCCTGTCACTGCCACCCATCCCTGTCCCCCTCCACTCATCCCTGTCACTGCCACCCATCCCTGTCCCCCTCCTCCCATCCCTGTCACTGCCACCCATCCCTGTCCCCCTCCTCCCATCCCTGTCACTGCCACCCATCCCTGTCCCCCTCCTCCCATCCCTGTCACTGCCACCCATCCCTGTCCCCCTCCACTCATCCCTGTCCCCCTCCTCCCATCCCTGTCACTGCCACCCATCACTGCCTCCCGTCCCTGTCACTGCCATCCATTCCTGTCACTGCCACCCATCACTGTCACTGCCACCCATCCCTGTCCCCCTCCTCCCATCTCTGTCACTGCCACCCATCCCTGTCACTGCCACCCATCACTGCCTCCCGTCCCTGTCACTGCCATCCATTCCTGTCACTGCCACCCATCCCTGTCACTGCCACCCATCCCTGTCACTGCCACCCATCCCTGTCCCCCTCCACTCATCCCTGTCCCCCTCCTCCCATCCCTGTCACTGCCACCCATCACTGCCTCCCGTCCCTGTCACTGCCACCCATCCCTGTCACTGCCACCCATCCCTGTCCCCCTCCACTCATCCCTGTCCCCCTCCTCCCATCCCTGTCACTGCCACCCATCCCTGTCCCCCTCCTCCCATCTCTGTCACTGCCACCCATCCCTGTCACTGCCACCCATCACTGCCTCCCGTCCCTGTCACTGCCATCCATTCCTGTCACTGCCACCCATCCCTGTCACTGCCACCATCCCTGTCACTGCCACCCGTCACTGTCACTGCCACCATCCCTGTCACTGCCACCCGTCCCTGTCACTGCCACCCATCCCTGTCACTGCCATCCGTCACTGTCACTGCCACCCATCCCTGTCACTGCCACCATCCCTGTCACTGCCACCCATCCCTGTCACTGCCACCCATCCCTGTCACTGCCACCCGTCACTGTCACTGCCACCCATCCCTGTCCCCCTCCACTCATCCCTGTCCCCCTCCTCCCATCTCTGTCACTGCCACCCATCCCTGTCATTGCCACCCATCCCTGTCACTGCCACCCATCCCTGTCACTGCCACCCGTCACTGTCACTGCCACCCATCCCTGTCACTGCCACCCGTCACTGTCACTGCCACCCGTCACTGTCACTGCCACCATCCCTGTCACTGCCACCATCCCTGTCACTGCCACCCGTCACTGTCACTGCCACCATCCCTGTCACTGCCACCCATTCCTGTCACTGCCACCATCCCTGTCACTGCCACCCATCCCTGTCACTGCCACCCGTCACTGTCACTGCCACCCATCCCTGTCACTGCCACCCATCCCTGTCACTGCCACCATCCCTGTCACTGCCACCCGTCACTGTCATTGCCACCCATCCCTGTCACTGCCACCATCCCTGTCACTGCCACCCGTCCCTGTCACTGCCACCCATCACTGCCTCCCGTCACTGTCATTGCCACCCATCCCTGTCACTGCCACCATCCCTGTCACTGCCACCATCCCTGTCACTGCCACCCGTCCCTGTCACTGCCACCCATCACTGTCACTGCCACCCATCCCTGTCACTGCCACCCGTCACTGTCATTGCCACCCATCCCTGTCACTGCCACCATCCCTGTCACTGCCACCATCCCTGTCACTGCCTCCCGTCCCTGTCACTGCCACCCATCACTGTCACTGCCACCCATCCCTGTCACTGCCACCCGTCCCTGTCACTGCCACCCATCCCTGTCACTGCCACCATCCCTGTCACTGCCACCCATCCCTGTCACTGCCACCATCCCTGTCACTGCCACCCATCCCTGTCACTGCCACCCATCCCTGTCACTGCCACCCGTCACTGTCATTGCCACCCATCCCTGTCACTGCCACCATCCCTGTCACTGCCACCATCCCTGTCACTGCCACCCGTCACTGTCACTGCTGCCCCTAGACCGCCGCCCGGCCTGGACGGATCGCCGCCGGCGGGGGCCCCCAGACCGGACGAGCAGCGGGGACGACACCTGCAGCTTCTCCAGTTTCCGCCCGGCCACGCTCACCGTCACCAACTTCTTCAAACAGGTGTCAGGGCCGCGGGGGCGGGGCGGGGCGGGGCGCGGCGCGGAGGGACACCCCTGGGGCGCACGGCCCGGCCGGCTCACAGTGCGGTCTGGTGCAGGAGGCCGAGAGGCTCAGCGACGAGGACCTCTTCAAGTTCCTGGCCGACATGCGGCGCCCCTCGTCCCTGCTGCGGCGTCTGCGGCCTGTGACTGGTGCGTGCCGGCCCCGTGGGCAAACCCTGGCCGCCAACAGGGCCCGGGATAGACAGACCCCAGCTTCGGAGGCTGGACCTTCCCGTGGCCCACAGATTGGAAGCCATAAAGAAGACAGATATTGGGTCAATTGGGGGACGTAGGGGCTGAGGGCAGAGGGGACAAGAGGTGGGAGCTGAGGGTGACTTCTGGCCTTAGGACCTGAAGGACAGCCACCAGAGGGCATTGTGGGAGAGTTTGGGCTGGAACCCCAAAGTCCAGAGAGGGCGGGGCCTGGCTAGGAGGCTCCCGGCTGGTGCAAACTGGCTCCGCTCTGCAGCCCAGCTCAAGATCGACATTTCCCCGGCCCCCGAGAACCCCCACTTCTGCCTGTCCCCGGAGCTGCTCCACGTCAAGCCCTACCCAGACCCCAGGGGCCGGCCCACCAAGGAGATCCTGGAGTTCCCCACCCGTGAGGTCTACGCTCCCCACACCAGCTACAGGTACCGCCTCCGGGGCCCGGGTGGGTGCCAAGTGAGGCCCCCTTAGTCCCAGACACACACAGACACCCGGGGTGCGATGCCACTGTTGCTTTAATGGGTCATTAGGCACATGTCTAAGGGGGGCAAGGGTCTTGCTTTCACTCCTCCTCGGTGGGGCCACGTCTTCTGCCTTCGACCCCACCTGCTTCTGTCTCTGATCCACGGCCGGACGTGCGGCCGGACGTGCGGCCGGACGTGGGGCCGGACAGCCCGCTGGCCCCGGCAGCCAGGCAGCTCCTCCCTGCGCGGGGGCCGCGTGGGGCGTGGCAGCGCCCGTCCCTCGGTGCGCATGGCTGGTCCTCAGTTCCGCCAGGCAGGCTCAGGCCGGGAGCGCCGCCGTGTGCAGTCTGGAAGGGAGACGAGGCTCAGCCTAGGCGGGGGGTGGGAGGGCATCCCGCTTCCCTGCACGGCCCCAGTCCAGGTGCCCTACAAGCCCAGCCCCCACCAGGCTCACCTCTCCTGGATCTGTCGCAGCCGGTGCTGCTGGGCCAGCATCTCCCGCCGCTGCCGCTGCACGTGGCCTGTGAGCGCCCACAGGATGTGGCTCTGCTTGTCAGCGCGGGCCTGTGGGGACGAGACAGAAACCTCAGCCGGGGCTGCCTCCCCCCCGTCCCTCGGTCTTACCCAGCCCCCTCTCCTCTCTGCGTTTGCGTGACCCAGCAAGTCGGGTCTCAGCTTCCCTGGCTGTGAAATGGGGAAGCAAGGGGGCTCACTTGGTGGGATCCTGGGCACAATGGGGATTATTTAAGGACACAAAACAGTGCTGGGTGCTTACTGAACACTGGAGAAGTGTTCAGTTTCTCCAAAAGTACGCATTTAGCGAGTAGCTAGCTAGCCTCCTCCTATCTTATCTGCATTGAGTCCCCGGCTCCTCTCTGGGACATCCGTTGTTGCCTCTAATTGCAGATGGAGAAACTGAGGCAGGGGAAGGGGCAAGGGCTTCGCCCAGGGCCACGCCTGGTGCTGGGAAGCTGGCCTGGGTGGGCGAGGGGATCTCTGGGACGCGCTCCAAAAGCATGTTCTGCCTGGGCATCAGGGCCTCAACTCCCCCCGGCCTGGGAGCCCCTTACCTTCAACGCCTCGAATTCTTCCTGGGCCCGGCCCAGCCAGGCGCCTCTCAGCCGGGCTTCGAGCTGTCGCATGTGCTTCCGCAGCCCCCGCTGCCCCTGGGCCACCTTGCCCAGCGCCTGGGCCGTGGCCTCCGCCTGCAGCTGCAGGGCGTCCTCTTCCACCTGCAGAGCCGCAACAGGGAGAGGGTGGCAGGGTGACCGGCGAGTCTTTGCGCCATCCCTGAGTTTAACCCTGGAACCCCCCCCTCTTCCCGGGCAAACCCAGACGGCGGGTGGCCCTGCCCGTCGCCCCAGGGCAGGTCCTCGCCCACCCCCGGGGGTCAGACCACCAAGCTCACCTGCATCGCCTGGAGGCTCGCGCGCAGCTCCTGGGCGGCGTCCCGGCCCTCGCTGACCTCCCGCCCCAGGAGCCCCAGGGCGCGGCCGTAGAGGCCGACGCTGTGCCGGGCCTGGGTCAGCCGCGCGTCCGTGCTCTTGTACACGCCGTTGAGCGCCTGGCCCAGCTGCAGGGCCCCGTGGAAGAGCAGGGTCAGCTCCTCGTGCTGTGCCGGCTCCACGCGGCCCACGGGGGCCGCGGAGGCGGGCCAGGCCTCGGCCAGCAGGGAGCACAGCAGGCACAGGGCGAGCATGGCTGTGGCGGAGCGGCCGGAGGTGCGGTCCCGGCGCCGCCGCTGCCTTTTATGCCTCAGCGCCCCCCTACGCCCCGGTCAATCGTTAACCAGCCAGTCGGGTGTCTGTGTTGTGCAAGGGCCTGGCAGCGGCCGGCGGTTGCATCAGGCACACGTCCAGCGGGGCCATGCTGGAGTCACGCAGGCCGGGGCTGAGGGCCAGGTGTGGGCTGGGGGCACGGGGCGGGGCCAGGCGAAGGTGCTGGGCACCAAGGAGCTCCGGGCCCTGGCTTCCCGCCTGCAGAAAGGCACCGTGACAGTGACGACAACGGGGAGGCTCCTGTGAGTTCCCCGTTTGCTCAGAGCTGTTCCACTGGCTGCAGTAACCCATCTGGTGCCTTCCCGCAGGCCGGCGAGGCCCGGCTGGGAGCCCGGGGGAGTGGGTGCAGGGACTCTGCCGAGGCCACTACATGCCCCCGGTCAGTGCCAGCTGCCAGCTTTCCCTCTGGGCAGCAATGGGCAGGCGCCTCACTCTCCGTGCCTGTGAAACGGGGGTGTGCTCAGTCTTGCTTCACAAGCCGCTTGTGAAAAGTAAATTAGCTGTTTCGTGGTGAGCACTTCACCAGGGCCTGGCACACAGGGGGCCCCTCGGCGGCTGGTGCAATCTCTGTCAGTACTGGTATCGCCTTTGGTATTGTTACAGAGGCTCAGCGGGAGGGTCAATGCCCCCCCCCCCCGTACTGATAGGGAAACTGAAGTCCAGAGGGAGGTCAGGGCTTGCACAGCTACTCCTGGGGAGAGGGGCAGATCTCTGGCCCCAGCCAAGCCGCGACGCTGGCCCCGGGCTCAGTTCTCCCACCTGAGGGACACGCGATATGATGAGGGCCTCTCCCGGGGGGAGGGGCACAGGCCCCTGGGCGGGTGAGGGGCAGGCCGGCCCGGGGCAGGGCTTATCCTGACCACGGGCCCCCGGGCCACCTTGGCCTCAGCCCTGAGCACCCCCGTGGCTCCCTGCCTCTTGTTTCTACCGCCTGCCTCAGTTTCCCTGCCTGCGCTCCGAAACCGCCCTTCTGTCTCCCACGCTCTGCCAGTCCCTCACGCCCCTCACCCAGCCCTCAGGGCCTCGGCCATGTGGCCGTCGTCCTGTTCCAGGAGCCCAGCCTCCTCTGTCCCTGTGACGCCCCCTCTCCATGCTGTCCCCGCAGGAACCTGCTCTACGTGTACCCGCACAGCCTCAACTTCAGCAGCCGCCAGGGCTCCGTGCGCAACCTGGCCGTGCGAGTGCAGTACATGGCGGGCGAGGACCCCAGCCAGGCCCTGCCGGTGAGCGGCCAGGCCGGGCCGGGCGAGGTGGGCGCGGGGCCCCGGCCGGCCCCTCACGGCCCTGCTCCCCCAGGTCATCTTCGGCAAGTCCAGCTGCAGCGAGTTCACCCGGGAGGCCTTCACCCCGGTGGTCTACCACAGCAAGTATGGGGGGGGGGCAGGGCCGGGAGCAGGAAGGGGGGGAGGGGCAGGTTCCCGGGTGCTAAGTGGGGGGACCCGAGGCAGAGAGCAGAGCCTGGGGGGGCAGCGCTGGGGGGAGACACGTGACCGAGGCAGTGGGGCAGGCCGGGGCTCCCCGTCCCCTCAATGCCAGCCCGGCCCTTCCAGGTCCCCCGAGTTCTACGAGGAGTTCAAGCTGCACCTCCCAGCCTGTGTGACCGAGAACCACCACCTGCTCTTCACCTTCTACCACGTCAGCTGCCAGCCCCGGCCTGGCACGGCCCTGGAGACTCCCGTGGGCTTCACTGTGAGCACCCCCCCCGGCTGTCTCCCCCTCCCCAGCCCCCCTGGCCCCGCCCCGGCCCCCCGCCCCTGACCCCCCGCCTCTTCCTAGTGGATCCCACTGCTGCAGCACGGCCGCCTGAGGACCGGCCCCTTCTGCCTCCCGGTGTCCGTGGACCAGCCGCCGCCCAGCTACTCCGTGCTCACGCCCGACGTAAGCGCCTGGCCCGGCCTCCCACCGCCCGGTCCCACCAGCACCTGGTGCCCCGTTAGCGCTCCCTACGGTCCTGGTGGCTCCCCGACAGTGCCCGCCTCCCTTGCCATCAGCACCCCTGGGAGCCTTGTCCGCTGTCGGGGCCAGGGCCCCAGCTGCCTTCTCACTCCTGCTCTCGCCTCTGTGTGTCCTAAGGCGCCGGTGTCCCTCCCTGTCCCCTCCTCTCCCTGCCTCCTAGTGCCCCTGCCTCTGCACTCACCGTCCCCCACTGGCAGCCCTGCCCGCCTTCCTGACCCCTGTCCCCCTGGGGTCCTCCAGGGGCCACCCCCTCTATGAGTACTATTACCCTCCCACACACCCTCACGCCGTTCATCGTGCCCCTGGGCCTCCATCTCCCAGGACCCTGTTTTCTGATTCATTCCCTCCCCCTCCCACCGATGTCCGTCTGGGGTCTCCAGTTGGACCCCATAGTGCTCCCCCCTGACTGCCCCCACCCCCATCGCTGGGCTGGGCTGAGGGCAAGGAGCCCAGCTGCTCCCCCAGGCAGGGCCGTGCTCAGGCTGTGGTGTTGCAATAGCTGAAATGGCTGGCGCTGGTGACCTGGCCAGTGGGGGAGGGCCAGCCAGTGCCCACCGGCGTGTCCCGCCCACAGGTGGCGCTGCCGGGCATGCGCTGGGTGGACGGCCACAAGGGCGTGTTCAGCGTGGAGCTCATGGCTGTGTCCTCCGTGCACCCCCAGGTAGGTGCTGGGACGGGAAGCCAGGAGTTGGGCAACAGTTCCCACTGAGCGGGGAGAGGCCTGGCCTTGGGCCACGGACAGACCTCAGTCAGCTGGACCTGTCTCCCAGCAAGCTGCTGACTCGGCAGGCGCGGGGCCAGTGGCTGCCCCAGCCGCCCCGGGCGGTGGCCCTTGCATGGTCTCTCCTCCCCCCATTTGTTCCCTGCCGTTTCTGCGGTCCCTCCCCCTCTCTCCTCCCTCCCTCCCTCCCTCCAGAGCAGCGGTTCTCAACCTTCCCAGTGCCGTGACCCTTTAATGCAGTTCCTCCTGTTGTGGTGACCCCCAGCCATAAAATTATCTTCGCTGCGACTTCATAGCTGTCAGGTTGCGACTGTTATGAATCGTGATGTAAATACCTGTGTTTTCCGGTGGTCGACACCCACAGGCTGAGAACCGCCAGCAGGGTCGCCTAAGACCATGGGAAAACACAGATATTTACATTGCGATTCATTAGCAGTCGCAGCCTGACAGCTATGAAGTCGCAGCGAAGATAATTTTATGGCTGGGGGTCACCACAACAGGAGGAGCTGCATTAAAGGGTCGCGGCACTGGGAAGGCTGAGAGCCGCTGCTCTGGAGTCTCATCCCGTCCTTCCGATCCATTCACGGATCCCCGGCCTCGGTGTCTCTGCCCATTCAGCTCTCCCTACTCAGTCCCCTGGGGCTTCCTGGACCGGGGCCCGGCCCCTCCCTGCTCACCCCTCCCCCCGCCCAGGACCCGTACCTGGACAAGTTCTTCACCCTGGTGCACGTCCTGGAGGAGGGCGCCTTCCCGTTCCGGCTCAAGGACGGCGTGCTGAGCGAGAGCACGGTGGAGCCGGAGCTGCGGGCCAGCCTGGCGGCCCTGCGCCTCGCCAGCCCCGAGTTCCTCGTGGCCTTCTCGCACCACGTGCTGGACAAGCTCGTACGCCTGGTCGTGCGGCCCCCCATCATCGGCGGCCAGATCGGTGAGCGGGCACGGCCTCCGGCCTCGGTTTCCCAACCTGGGAAAAGGCCCCTCCGTCCCCTGGTCCCAGGGGACTCCCTCTAGCCCGTTCATCTCTCCGGCGACCCTCTGCTGGCCACGTGATCCCTTGGGCCCTGAAGTCCCTTCTCGGGAAGGTAGAGGCCCCGGGCCCTGGAATTTGACCCCTGCTCTGCCCGGCAGTGAACCTGGGTCGTGGAGCTTTTGAAGCCATGGCCCACGTGGTCAGCCTCATCCATCGGAGTCTAGAGGCTGCCCAGGACGCCCGTGGTCACTGCCTCCTGCTGGCGGCCTACGTCTACTATGCCTTCCGGCTGCCTGGCACCGAGCCCGGCCTCCTGGGCGGTGAGTTTTGGTGGGAGAATCTGCAGGACTGGAAATATCCCGGAGGAGAGCGTCCTAGACAAAGGGAATCAGCGCGTGCAAAGGTCCTGAGGCCACGCAGGCCGTGGCTGGCCTGGACGACGTGCACGTTTTGCTCCAGCCCCGGGGGTCTGGTGTCTGCCTGCTTGCTGGCAGGTGACTCAGCCGATCAGCAAAGCAGGGTTATCCGCTCTGCCTCCTGCAAGCTCTGAACTGCTGGGCGAGTGACTGCCCCTCTCTGAGCCTGAATTCCCGTCTGTAAAACATTGGCGACGTGCCCCCTCTCCTGGGGGCGCTGGTAATGGGAAATGGCATGGCAATCCGTGCCAAGTGCTTGGTACTGTGAGTACTCCGGTGGTTGTTCTCATTTGCTAAATAACTAGTGAGAACTGCCACCTCCTCTGGGCACTTCCTGTGTGCCAGGCACCGTGCTCGGCGTTTTTTAGTCTCCCCCAAACTGTGACGAGGCGGCAGCCATCATCACACCCATTGTACAGGCGAGGAACCTGGCGGCTTATGAAAAGGAAATGGCTTCGGCAGAGGCAGCCGCTGGGAAGGGGTGGGCGGCAGGGTGGGTAGGCGGTGGCTGACCGGGTCCCCTCCATGCGCAGGGGCCCCTCCAGTGGCCGTGCAGCCTGCCACGCTGGCCCGTGGCCCTGGCCGCCCGGCCAGCCTCTACCTGGCTCGCTCTAAGAGCATCAGCAGCAGCAACCCGGACCTGGCCGTGGCCCCCGGCTCCGTGGATGACGAGGTCTCCCGCATCTTGGCCAGCAAGGTAGGGCGAGGGGGACCCTGGAGCCTCCGGCCTCGGTGGCCGTGGCTGCCAGGTGGGTGGCGAAGGACTTCAGCGTTGGTGGAGGACAGGACAGGGGCATGGGCACAGGCTGGACGCTGGGCCGAGGAGGCTCAGGGGCTGTCACAGGTGGGGAGCTGGGTCTTGGGTTTACACTGGGCTCCATACTCTGGGGCTGACCTAAGGATGGGTGGCTGGGCTTGGCCTGGTGGTGAACACATATATACCACATGCATGCACATACGTGGGTGCATGTGTGCTGCCCTAAATGTGTATGCGCATAGGGTGTACATATACGTGTGTAGGGTGTGTATATGTGTGTGTGTGTGTGTCCTATGTATAGACCTACTGGGAGGCACATACACATGTGTGCCCAATGTGTGTAAATACACAGGTCACAAATATATCTG